ACAATGTTAGGTCGAAAATGTAGTCACATTGCTATCCGTTAGGGCGTAGGTAACCAACATGGCCGCCATGAATTTAACATCTGTTTTTTGTTTACACGTATTTTTATTCTTAAATAATAATTAATTAAATCCCATTAATTAAAACCAATACATTTCTTTTGTTAATTTCTGACCTGTTCTTATACTCTCATTCGTATGAGATCCCCGATCCTACAAAGTTGTAGGCTGTCAGACATTAGTGTACAAGTTAGGTATGTCGGCACGAAATAAAGTGTGTCATTTGTTAGAATTTTGGAGTGCATAGCATTTTGAATGAAAAAGTTGATTAATTTTCCTTTTCTATTAACTTCTGGTATCTTACAATTTAACACAAAAGATAGCCAAAACAAACAACAACAAGCCTTCAAGGACTGTTATAGCATTATTTTTGGTTCTACCAATCGCCACGCGCAGCATTGCAAAAGTTCTAACAAGCTAAGAAAAAAAGGGGGCGTTTTCTATCTTATCGGAAATTTCTCTATTGGAATTAACACGAGTTAACAACTTACAAGCATCGTTGCTACTCCTAATTACTATCAGGTAAAGGCAATTGCAAAAATTTCGATGGCCAAGCGCGTTGAAAGCTATTTATGTGACTATATTAGTAGTATAACAACCAAAACCCACTCAACATACAAGAAAACTAAACTACGAGTCGGGGGTAATACAATCTTATGGAAAATTGGACTTTGGATTTGCGTCGGGTAGAATCGAGTAGAATCGAGTAGAGTCGCGTAGTGTTGCATCGGGTAAGTGTGTTCCCCGCCTAATGGTGGCACGTCTATCATCGAAGATTTTATTCAGGATGGTGTCGTGATGAGGCCTATATGGTAGCTGTATACCAAGAAGGTGTTGGCTATTTAAATCACAAACCGGGGTGGTGGTAGAATGAATGCAGCTAAGGCAATGAAAAAGAACACAAGACTAGTTGGCTGATAGATGCTGATTGATAAATACATCAGTGGCATAGACGTTATATAATTTTTCAAAAATGTATACAATTTCACTTAGTTTACTACATTTAGCGGTAAAAATATTGTACTTCGGTTTTTGACTCACGTAAATATTTTTAAGTTCTAAAAAGCAAATCTAGTTATTAAATCAATTAAGGTTTTTAGTTGAGATAGAAAAGTCAGTGTGACGAGCGTGATTCGAATCCACGATCTTCGGCTTGATACGCCGCTGTTTTAACACTTAAGCTGTCTTGACCTCACGGTCCGAAGATAATAATAAATAAATAAATCGATTTTGAATAATATGCTCGCACTCGCCCCCTACAGGAATAAGATGATCATAGTGTGCACCTTCTTTTAAACCGAAGCAGCATGAGATCGACATATACAAAACTTGACAACGAGCTACAATTCGAGAGAAAACCATAACGATCGACATAATACAAGCCAACCTGATGACTAAACGCAGTGCGACACACAAGAAACAATATAAAGGCCAACTTAAAAAAAATAATTGATATAAAAAAGTTAGTGTCACTATTGTCACGAGCGGTGTTCGAGCCGATTCGATTGAAATTTCATTTCGACCCAAACCTTACATAAAAAGATTAATTAATTGAAATAAGGAATTTGGTCAATATACCACTAAATATGATGGATTTAATAAGTAAAACGAAGTATAACTTCACTAGCAGCTCCCCGTGGCCACTTCACATGTCGCCGAGAATCGAATCCTGATTAATCGACATTTGAAAAAGGGCAAAAAAGGAGGGAAAATTCGAACAGTTGTAGGCTAAGATGAGGGGTGAGTTGGTATCCGAGTGGATCGAAGTCATGTGGTAGAGCAGCGGCGTATTAGTCGAAGGTCGTGGGTTCGAATCCCGCTCGTGGCACTAACTTTTTCATTTCGACCCAAACCTTACATAAAAAGATTAATTAATTGAAAGAAGTAATTTGCTCAATAGAAAACTAAATATATTGGATTTTAAAACTAATCGGGTGTTATATTTTGGCAGTTTAGTCTTCAGACACCGAACTACGCTTTTGGGGTATAAGATAAAAAATTGTTATTAACCTTGCCAGTCAAAACACTTTTCCTATTTAAAAATAATAATTAAATATTTAACAGCAAGATAGCGAATCACGCTCTTGACACTGACTTTTTTGACTCAACTAAAAACCTTAACTAATTGAAAGATATTAATTGTTCAAGTGGACCACAAAAACTGTTGAATTTAATAATGATTAAAATTTGAAAATTATGTACTTAAAAACCTAATATTGTCCAGCCTAGTGTCAGATTAGGCTTCAACGGAAGCTTTCGACATTTCAGCGACGAACGCAGCCCCAACGTTACAGTCGCGCAAATAAATACATTTACACCTGTATACATTGCATTTCTGATTAATCGGTGGAGTTCTTCGTTTTGTCCACCGACCTATACACAATTAATAATCTTATTTCGAATTTTACAAATATTCGCTCATCGATCCTAGACAAACCCAGTAGGATTGGAGATTGTAACGCTATAATTCACCACCAAGAAAAAAAATTTACTTACAACTAGTAAAAATAACTATAATTGAGTGAAATATTAGAACCTCACCACTCACAAGGATAAGTACAGGCACTCAAATAAAACATAAAATTTATCTATACACAATAAAAAAAAAACCCAAATCTTCTAAAACGGAGCAAACCGGATCTAGAAACTTGCTACTATACTCGAGAACCATTCTTAAATCCGGCGGCAAGCCTACACGCTTTCTGTAAGGAGGCATGACAAGCTTTTATTATGTGGATCACATCGAGGAACCTTTACTACATAACGGGCACCTAATTATACTATAGTTTTATGAACTATGAGGCTAAACTGTTAATATTTTATTCCCATAAATTTGCTATTTTTGCTAACAGCTTTCAAAAGTGAGAATTATATTGACAGCAATAAAGCCATAATGAAAACTAATTTTGGGAATTTTCTACTTTTAAAGAGTTTAATTCACCATCAATTCTGGATGCAAAAAAGTAAGAAAAACCAAAAACACGTATCAAAACAAGAAATATTCAATTTTTATTCGGTTAGCAATTACTTAATTATTATTTTTAATTACAAATTATATTACTTAATTCTTAAAAAAACCATAATGAAGACTAATGTTAGGAATTTTCTTGTATTTAAGAGTTTAATTCACAATCAATTCTGGATGGAAAAAAGTTAGAAAAACCAAAAAGACGTATTAAAAAAATTCAATTTTTATTCTATTAACAATTACTTAATTATTATTAGTTAATTACAAATTATATTACATAATTCTTAAAAAAACCATAATGAAGACTAATGTTGGGAATTTTCTAGTTTTTAAGAGTTTAATTCACAATCAATTCTGGATTAAAAAAGGAAGAAAAACCAAAAAGACGTATCAAAACAAGAAATATTCAATTTTTATTCTGTTAGCAATTACTTAATTATTATTTTTAATTACAAATTATATTACTTAATTATAAAAAACACCATAATGAAGACTGATGTTAGGAATGTTCTAGTTTTTAAGAGTTTAATTCAAAATCAATTCTGGATACAAAAAAAGTAAGAAAAACCAAAAAGACGTATCAAAAAAAGAAATATTCAATTTTTATTCTGTTAGCAATTACTTAATTATTATTAGTTAATTACAAATTTTATTATTTAATTTAAAAAAAACCATAATGAAGACTAATGTTAGGAATTTTCTAGTCGTTAAGAGTTTAATTCACAATCAATTATGGAAGAAGAAAAGTAAGAAAAACCAAAAAGACGTATTAAAACAATTATTTAACTATTATTAGTCAATTACAAACTATATTTTTTAATGATTAAAAAAACCACAATGAAGACTAGTTGGGAATTTTTTAGTTTTAAAGAGTTTAATATTATTCACGGGGGAGCGTCGTTGGCCGCAATGGTTTAGGCGTTGACACGGCGCTTATCACTGTAAGGTAAAGGTCCCGTGTTCGAATCCCGCGGCCTTGCATTCGAACCGGTCATACTTACAAATGGTCTACCGGCACCCTGAGGGTTTATATGACCTCGACTGTTGCCAACCCTCGTAAACAAAAAAATTATTCACAATCAATTCTGGATGCAAAATAAAAATCTAAGAAAAATAAAAAAGACGTATTAAAACAAGAAATTCTCAATTTTTATTCAATTAGCAATTATTTAATTTTTATTAGTTAATTATAAATTATATTTCTTAATTATTCTTTAAGTCTTAAATTTAATTTGAAAAATACTAATGAGATTTGACGTTAATAAGTGATCTTTTAGGCAGTAGTTAGGCCCATAAATTTTACTTAATGATCCTCCAAACATTCTCATGCTTATTTCATGGAGTGGTTTGATTTGCATCAGTTTTCTACTTTCAACTATCGGAATCGTACCAAATCCAATCCTTGTAATATTCATAGGGCTTTTTAATACAGTTAATAAAAATATACATTAGTGAGCGTTCCAAGTTCGTCCGGTCTTTGCGAGGTACCCATTAAAACTTTCCCCTCTTGTCAACTGAGGAGAACTTCTGCAGCGCAACCTCTAATGCTTGCAAAATATTTCCCCCTTTCAAAGCACTTTATAAAGAAGTATATTTTAAGAGAATGAAAGCCTTCTTTATAATTAAAAGATTGACATATGCCTAGAAAACTCTTTCACTACACATTTCAAAAATTATAAACGACGTTAAGAAGTCAACAAGGATAAACAAGTTTTTTTAAATTCTTTTCAATTAATTAATCTTTAAGTAAGGTTTTTGGTTGAAATAAAACAGTCAGTGTCACGAGCGGGATTCGAACCCAAGACCTTCGGCTAGATACGGCGCTGCTCTACCACTTGAGCAATCGTCACTTCGATTTTGAATTTTGGGTTAAATGGGGTTGTATAAAATGGTACAATTATGTTTAAAATGTAATAAAATTTAATTATTATAATGCATATATCGGGGTGTTAAAATATAGTTTGGTTTTTGTTTCAGATAAAGGACGACTATGCGATGAACATAAACATGCACTGAGAAGGTAAGTAAATTTTGATTGTTTTGATTTAAAAATAGTTATCTTTTAATATTGACTGCAGCCATAAAACATATTTGATCCTACAAAGTTGTAGTTAAAATAAAAACTTCTTGCTAATTTTTTAATTTAATCCAATTTGCCAGAGAAGCAATAGAGTTACATAGCATATGAAAATAAAATAATATTATATCAAGTAGAGAATCTATCTAGTGATAATAGTAGTAATTCAAGGATTCATTTTATCCTCTCCTGAATGCAGGTCGTGACGCGTTGGGAAACTTTTTTCGACCACGGACGAGGAATATTAGGAAAATCTAAAGAAAAGATTTTCGTGGATTAGAATGGAATTGAACGTTAGTGTGGTATTTTTGTAGCTGGATCTGTCAACATTTTTTTATTTTATAAAAAGAACATTTAGAACGTTATGGATGGTGCAGAAGGAAACATAGAACCGGTCGTTGACGATTTAAATAAGGATTCGTGATTGTAGGACTTTCACACCGAGGCTTTTTAAAAATGGTTGTTCCTACTCACAGTAAGGTGTTTTCAAACGATCCAACGATCTACTTAAAAGATTAAAAAAATTAACTTTAAAAGAAGCAACAATAGGACTCAGTCACCCCACCATAAATGAATCATTAGATTTCCGTTGTTTGCCGTACATTGGTGAAGTATCAGAAAGAATTAGTAAAATTTTTAAACAAGAAGAAAAAACAAAAACATCCTCTCAAAACCTGAAGACAAGGTAGACAACTTGGCACAAAGGGGGATATACCAACCTAATTGTAATGATTGTGACATTAAATATTTAGGACAAATAATTAAGGTTTTTAATTGAGATGAAAAAAAGTTAATGGCCCGAGCGGGATTCGAACCCACGATCTTCGGCTAGATACGCCGCTGCTCTACCACTTGACCTCGATCCACTCGGACATCAACTTCCTATCTCAAGCCCACCTTATGTTGATGTCCAAATGCTCACGAGATCGCTGCTTCCCTAACAACGGTGTCATGCTCCGACGGGATCTTTCAACAGATAGGTCATTTCAGCCTCAAAACATGGAAACAATATTCTAGACTACTACTTAAATTGGATAAATCATTCGCACAATTCATACATCTAAATATATTCATGCATGCACGACATGATTAGTCGGTGGAATGCTGGATATTCCTCCATCGACCTATGCATATTATTAATAATCTAACTTAAATTATGGTCGATAAGGTACTTTTATAAATATTCCGCCATCGCAGCACGTATGCACATACACTGCTGGAGGGGTGATGGTGACGCAATATTTCACCGTCACACCTCACCATTTACACTAATAAATACTAATTGTTCGGTTCGTATATTTAGTTCATAAAGCAGTTTTGCAGTTTGATTGATGAAAGCTTTCCTACACCAATAAACATAAAATAGTTTTGTTTGGTCTGAAAGTTGAAAGGAATTGAACTAAAAGTCGAAGTAATACTCTACATGAGCTAAAATAATGTAGGATTAAGAAATAATTGAATCGTCAGGAATTTCTAGAAAATCTGGAAAAAAACAGCCAGGTGATGCTTGGGAAAAGTGGACCCTTCTTTCAAAACTGTTATGAAGTTGTCTGGATTGGTTCTAAAAGAACTTTATTTTTTACAATATTAAGAAAATTACAATTAATTAAGGTTTTTAGTTCAGATAAAAAAGTCAATGGCACGAGCGGGATTCGAACCCACGATCTTCGGCTAGATACGCCGCTGCTCTACCATACTTGAGTTATCGTGACCTCGATCCGCTCGGACATTAACTTCCTATCTCCACCGCACCTTTTGAATTTTCCCTCCTTTTTATCTCAACTAAAAACCTTAATTAATTGTAATTTATTAATTGGTCAAGCGGACCTCTAAATTAGTGAATTTAATGATTTAAAATGAAGTATACTTCACTAAAGTTCTCCGTGGCCATTTCATTTGTCGTCGAGAATCCAATCTGATTACACGACATTTGAAAAATGGCAAAAAGGAGGGAAAATTCAAAAGGTGCGGTTGAGATAGGAAGTTGATGTCCGAGTGGATCGAGGTCACGATAGCTCAAGTGTTAGAGCTGCGGAATATTTAACCGAAGATAGTGGGTTCGAATCCGACTCGTGCCACTGACTTTTTTATCTCAACTAAAAACCTTAATTAATTGTAATATATTAATTCGTCAAGTGGACCACGAAATTAGTAAAATTAAGAAAATTGTAACCTTAAATTTAAATGACTCGTACCAAACATTCTAGTGTAAAAATCATCAGACAAAATAATAATTCTAGAAAATAGTATACATACTGAACAGTTAATTAGATTTATAACAAAAATATATTATTAGAGATAAATTATTAATTATTAAGTTATAACTGTAAATTATTTGTTCGCTCTGAATTTATTAGACTTTTTTGTGGTTAAAGTTTAACTGAAATTGTGCGCCAAGGCGTCTCTTAACGCCCCCATTATCTTAAACAATACTAGGCGTATTCTGAAATTGTCACGGCCCCTTTATTTAGACAGCCGTATTTAGACTTAAGACAAGTCCCCACGCTAAAGTCGCATAGGCGCAGTCTCGTGTATGTTTCTATATTGCGTGCTTACGTTTCCTTTGAGCTTGGTATTTAATTTATTTCTCATTTTTCCGTCCGCCTAAATCCGACGTTGTGCCACCTGCTCCAGCCGAGAATTGAAAAAGGTTAAACCTTTTTGAATACACTCGCTAGCTTTTTTGAAACGCGTTCTCAAGCTCCGATCGATAGTAAGGAGAAAGAGGCCAAGAAACGGGGTTTAATATTCCCACATAATTATTTGGAGATGGTGAGATGCGGTCTGGTGTGATATAGGTTTCAGAAAAACATTTCCTTTATCGTGCCAACGTTTCGGACTTTATTGAGATCATCTTCAGGCTCAAAGTGTTTGTTTTTCGAGTGGGTGTGTCTTTATTGGGGGTCGTGTTAAGACTGCCAGCGAGGTGTTGATGTTTTATGTTTATATATGTTAGATTCTGAAAAAGTGGGGAAGGAACTTGGGGCAGAAAGCATTTTTATATTAGGAGTCGGCTTCTTTGAAATAAAAAGAGCCGACAGCCGACAATTGGAATGAAAGAACGGATAATGAATCGGCCTGATTATCCTTTCAGGATTATATAATAGGGGGGATAATTAGGGAATGGAAAGCAAAATTGTTGTAGAATTAGACTATGTAGAAATGTTTGAAGTGAGAAATGTAATGATTGTTTTGTATGCTTTGTGTGATTTGATGATGATATATTTATGTTATCGATATTGAATTTTATGATATTAGCCTCGCTGTGACTGAGTTTACATGTGTCTTTCTATAATTGATGCTGTGCTTATCTCTGTTGATGTAAACCAGTTCTAAAAAGTTACGTTTATGTTTGTTTTGTTCTGTACGTAATATTTTTGTATTTTTTAAGTCGAAATTGTGTTGTTGTTCAAAATGGTGGGTAGCCAGTGCAGTAGGATTTGTTTGGGTAGATATTTTGCTTTACTATCTCATTTTACCTCAAAGAAGCCGACTCCTCATATAAAAATGTTTTCTTTCCCAACTTCCTAAACACGACACATTCCCACATAAGTCCATCTTGTTGCCTTATTGTACTTTTCCAATTAGTTCAATTAGGCGCCGCGGTAGCCGAGTGGTTAGCGGGAGAGACTCTCGGATCGTAGATCCCGCGGTTGTGTTTAGACTCAAAGTGTTTGTTTTCCGTATAGATGTGTCATTCTTGTCTGTCGTGTTGAGAGTCACTTTGAGCCCTGAAGATGATCTCAATAAAGATCGAAACGTTGTCATGATAAACAAAATGTTTTTCTAAAACCTACGTCACACCAGACCGCACCTCATGATCTCCAAATAAACATTTCCATGTATTTCGCTTTAATTTTTTTAATGGTAATAAATTTTGATTATTTCTTTGTCTTCTAATTCTGGCCGTGGACAACGTTTTATGTTTTGTGGGGATATTAACCTGTGAGCTATCGAACGTATAAATCGAACCATTGATGATGGGATTTGTTCAGTTCCAAGAATGAACAGTTTTTTCAGGAATTATTAAACAACTAATCAACTATTTTAAAAAGTTTTGACTCAGTCGAGCCCGATTCGTAGCTGTTCGATGTATTAAACTTTCAGAACCCGAATCCAGGAGAATCCAATATCAGATAGTCACGTCACTCATGGCAGGCTGTAAACATGGAAAGGGTATGGCAGGATCCGTTAGAAAATTAAAGCAGACAACCGAAATTGAAATTCTGTTTTCACAAACAAACGAAAGTAGTGTTTAAAAGCAAAATAAATTGTAATTATAGCTGTGTTTCAAACTTTTTCATAAGTGTATTTTTGTATATAAAAATATTTTAATTTGTTAGATTTGTTAAATGTATAAAGGATTCAAAGCTATTAGTTTCAAAAGAAATAAAAGAAAAATGGAGAAACTATTCAGTTTTGACGTAGGTTTTATAAAAACATTTTCTTTGTCGTGCCAACGTTTCGGTCTTTATTGAGATCATCTTCAGGGCCTGGGATTTATAAACATTGTTTAAATTATACAAATAAATGTAGGATGTGAAAAAAATGAATTTATACAGTGCTAAAATTTTTAGATTCAATCAAAGTTTTTGTACTCAATGAAAGAGTTTGTTTTCTGTGTTGATGTGTCATTCTTGTGTGTCGTGTTGAGAGTGCCAGTGAGATATTGATTTATACATGTTGGATTTTGAAAGGGTGAGGAGGGAAGTAGGGATAGAAAGACATTTTTTATATGAGAAGTTGTCTTCTTTGAGGTGATAGGAGCCGACAATGGGAAAAAATGGGTAATGGTTCGGCCTTTCAGGATTATATGTATACGGGAATAATTAGGGAAAGGAAAGCTAAATTTTTGAAGTGTTAGACTATGTAAAAATGTTTGATGTGTGGAATGTAATGACAGTTTTTTATGTTATATCATATGTTTTGTGTGATGTGATGAT